TGCTTGGTTGAAGTTGTTTTGCAAAAGGTCATGGAACTTCAAGCTCAATTGAATCTAGAATTTTGGGGTTACCCAAAATGTAGTTTGCTAGCTTGAAGTTCCAGGGTCTTGCACTCAATGATTACTTTTTCTGGTGCCACCTCAACCCTGCCCAAGCCCCCACTTCAGTTTTCCTGAAGGAGTGCAAACGCGTGGCCCACTGGATGCGGGAAGGCGTTTGATACCACCTTAGTGTCCCGCTGGCTAGAAGATGAGCTGGCCAACTGTCAGAATGTGGCGGCTCCGAGGAAATTTGGTATTGGCCAGGGTGTGGCTCAAGATTGGGAGAGGACCAAAGCACATTAAGGTAAAGAATAGGGAAGACCCGCCTTTTTTGAGCCAAACCCGTTTGGGATCTAGGGAAACTTATGTTTTGCTGGCCCTTGAAGACAGGGGCAGGCCGCCACAAACCCTATAATTAAGTTGTTTCTCATTGGGGGCTCTAGGAGTGCCCAAATCTTATCAGGTGCCGGACTTGACTGAGATCTTGGAGGTCTTGAAGTGGACACTCAAGCACACCAACATCTACTTCAGGGTTTTGCATGGCTGTGGTATATGGATACCCCGGGCCGACGCAGAGAGGGCTGTGCCAAGTGGATGGAATATGTGTGACACTCAAACTGCTGATGTACCAGTTTTGTTTTTTGGGGTGAGCCCTTGAACAAAAAGGGTTGTTGCAGTGTTTGTTTTTCTATGGGTTGAGCTTCCGGGCAAAAGCAACAAGGAAGGGTACGGGACGCTCGCCTCTCTGTGCAACCATCGGGGGTGGTGCCTCTACCAAATGCGCCCGAAACTTCACCTTCAATTACTCCTGGTGTACCCTAGTTGCAACAAGTGTTTTTGTTGACTCCTCTTCTTCAGTTTGTGGGCGTACCCTGTCCAAGGCGAGATATTCAAGTTCAACTGAACCGCGGGTGTGAACACCTGTTCAATGTCTTGTCGTGGTCTTGTTGGGCCGATGAAGATTTTGTAGGCCGCTGTTGCAGAATAGGGCGTCGAACACACTCTTTCAATACAGCTTTGCGAGTGCTACAGGTGACAATGATGCAGTGCAAGAGGCACTGGAAACAGAACATGTGAAAGTCGGTCTAAGGGCCTGACCTGACTCGCTGGATGAAAAAGTTGGTGAAGGCCAAGAAGTGTATGTGCATCTGTGCACAGTTTGTTGAGATTGTGTTATAGTGTTGGCATGTGGTACACAAACGAGCACTTTCCAAAAACTCGACCTCTTTTTGGAGTTGGAGTCGGTGTGAATAAGATCGAGCATGTTTTGTGAACAATTCCCTCGAGCAAGAAAATAGGTACCACTTGAGGGACCAGGTATACATATATAGCTTATTCAGCGCTTGGAGAAAAGGACGGAGAATGGGCACAACATGAAAACATGGCACACGTTGCCTGCGATTCTAATCCGGGGTGATTCTCAAAGGTGATATACCACTGGCTTGCAAACAGTGCAAATAGAGGGACGAGATCAACGGAGATATCGTTGGCTCAGGTAGTTTGAGCTGGCTTACTTGTGACGCGCAGTCTTCCTCTGATACAGTTTGGACTCTACAAGCGATATGGCGGTTGAAGTCGTCCAACTCCACTTTAGGCAAGCAACTTGTCCGCATCTTCCACCCTGATCACCCGCTTCACCTGTCACAGCCAACACTTGAGGTCAACCTACAATGGGCCACTCACGATATATGTTTGATTTCCACCCCAAATATCCCCAAATATGTTCAATTATTCTGAAACACTACAGCTTCGTGGCCTGAAAGCCGGTGGGCAGTCCCGGATTTCCTCCAGGCCGGACACAGGGACAGCCGCCTCACCAAGGCGAGAGAAACGGGCGAGTCGAAAAGGGTGGCCTCTGGATGGGAAATGGGACACCACAAGTACAACTAACTAATATAATAGAATCTTCAATTGAGAAATGTGACTTTCCAGCCCCAAGAGCAGGGTATGTCGGTGTATATATGATGATGTATGTAGTATGTGTACTGCAGGATTCGTACTGGGTGGTTGCCAAGTTGCACAAAAGGTCGGGACAGCCCAGAGTGCTAGCCCACCCAGTCCCATGATGGTCAGCTGTCGCGGCCAAGCCGTCCAGGCCTCTCATCTTTTCATGCGTTCCGCTCGGGCAAAGCCGATCTTGTGTAGGAATTGCCCGGTAGGTGTAATTCACGAAGTCCTGCAGAAGCAAAACTGCAGCTAGGCCGGGACAGCAGCAAATAATAAGGGTTCATTTACAGTCCCACATGTCTCTTGTCCTCTTCAAGGGCAGTGTTGCCGGGGGGGCGTTGTTTTTCCCCAATAGCGATAGCTTGGGGTTGTACACTCTTTAGGCGGCTGGGCGCCGTCCGATCCACAGCCGTGTTTGGGTGGTGTCTCGCTCTCTCGGTTCTGTTTGGGCGGTATCTCGGCCATGTTTCGCAGGTGTCTTGCTCATACTTGGGTGGTGTGCTGGTTATGTTTTGGTGGTGTGTGTGTGTGTGTGCCTTGTTTTTTCTGATTTGGTGGTGTTGGTGGTGTATTTTTTTGTTTTGGCGGTGGTTTGTTGATGTTTTGGTGGTGTCTCTCTTATTTATGTTGTAGTTGCGTCTCGGGCTCTGCTTTTGCGTGTATGAACTGTGCGCTTGCATGTCCATTGGACCTGGTGCACATTGGGTTCTAGCACTTGCACACTTTATTGCGCGTGCGTGTATAAACTATGCGGCGATATGTAACAAAACTGTTTCGCTTGTCGAGCTTCTCGTATTGTTTGTACAACATCTGAGCTGGCGAGAGAATGTGTGTTCCTTATGTCGATATTTCCTGTTGCCGCCTTTTGAACATATATGATATTAGCATTCAAATAAACTACGTGCTTGCGTGTCCAAACGCGTGTCGTCCGTGGCGCAAGTGCTTGAATTTTGCCCCCTTGAGAATAATTGCATTCATTACGCCTGTCGTATATATAGATCATGCCGCCGTGGTGAAAATACACTGTGTTTTCCTTTGGTGGTGGTATATTGTTGTCATATGGTTGCATTGATTCCCCATGATATTCTTTGAAACGTCTCATTCCTTGTCTGTGTGGAGATGAGCGCGCCCATGCCCAAACACCTATTGTGCTTAGTGTGATTTTTTTGTGTATGTTTTCCGCTGGCGCTTGATATCTTTTGGCGAGTCTGCTTTTTTAATGCACAAATGGCGTGCACATACTTGACATTAAAGTTCGGCCATCGGCATACATTCATGGTGCTCAATAGAACATACATGAACATACATTCTGCTTGGGTATGGAACTTTTTTGTGTAACTTTGTGGCTCCTTTTAACAACGGCAGTGTTTTTCCAAAATCACATTTTTTTTGGAACAAAATGCCCGATTGTAGACCGGGTGTTCACTGAAGGATTTTTTGTGCCTAATCTATGCGTGCGTCCTCAAGTGCACTTTCTGTGTGTTTTGGTGGTGATCTTTTGTCGTCATCAAATCCCGGGGATGACTTGCTTTTGGGGTTGTCAGCTGGGTTAATTCAGATAAAAATCCAGTAAATCAATTTCAACAATCAGTTTCGAAGCTTCTTGACCAGATTCCAAATTCCAAATAAAATGTCCTGAAAGAGCTGCATGTGTTCATGCGGGACGTACCTTCGCTCTCCAGGACGATTCTCTCAAAAGGTGCACTTGTGTGGGAAGTCTGTGTGGTCCCTCTCATCTTTGTTGAAATCAAATCTGCCACAAAGTACCCACGAGAAATTGCCTTTGAATATCGGCCTCGTGACCTGTCAAATCTCATGCAGCTCAGTTGCCAAAGCTGCGAGAAGGCCAAATAGTTTTGGCTCACCTAATTGTTGGGACACTGCTTGGATGATGCTCCTTTATTTCAGCTCAAAACGCAACTCTTCTGTTTCAAGGCCTTTTGCCCCCACCCTGTTCTTGCATTCACTGTTCCATAATAGATCTGCTCAACATTGCTCAACCATGACCGTCACGACCGCACATCTCACCTATGTCGATGTGCACCACCAAAGAGGTGCGCCCAGACTGCCCACCCCTCCAATCGCATACTTTGCAAACACAGCACAGACATGGATGCACATGGCCATCAACTCCAAGGCACGTAGGTGTAAGAGAGGTGAATGGCCTCCCTAGCACCCACCCAGTAGTCCGGCACACTGCTCAAAGCCTCCTCGTTCAGTGGTGCCACCTCATCCGCACTGGGCTTCGACCATCCAAGTCATGAGAGAAAACGTTTCAAAAGAAAACATAGACATAGGATACAGGCTATAGGATATATATCCCAAGCACACATTCATCTAACATCTTCTATTATTCTATTCCACACCTGCCCCGGAACCTCCTCCAAAAGCGGGTTGACATTCTGCTCCAAACCTCTCTTTGGCCCTTGCTCAGTCACATCTTAACTTTCCCTTCCCACATCATGATCAAACAAGTGAGTTGTCTTCCCCGTGCTTTCAAGAAAGGGTTTGCAACTAACATATGGATTAATATTGTGTTTCGGGACATTCAATGCACATATTTTTCTAAACAACACACTTGGTTTTAGGTAGAGTTTCGCCCCTCAGCGCCGGCTGCAGCAACCCCTGCAGCGGTAGCCTAATGGTCCCAAACTCACTGATATTTGGGTGTTCGCATAACATAGCATAGCAGGCGTATGCAGGCGTATTCACTATATTCATCCTAGCGATTAATCTTCCCAGGCAGCCTTCTCTCCGCTGTAGGTGCGGACAACAGTTTTGCCACCGACAACCACTGCCACAGGTCCACGGTCAGAGACTGGCCAAAGAACCGGAAAAACAGGAATCGTTTGGCGAACTGTCAACAATAGTTAAGTTAAGTTCCTGATTGTTTTATATTGTCTCTCATGGTTTGATCAGAATGTACATTCCGTACGCAACTAACAATCTTTTGTATCAATTGAATCAACGCCCTAATTTCTACTAGTCGCTTGTGAACTTGTTGCTTGGCCCTCAACCCCGGATCCAAAAAGCAGGCAAGGAAGGTGCTGGAAACTGGCGTACTCTTGAATTGCTACTAATGTCTTGCACACGTGACATTGTCAGCGTGAGGCTGAAATTGAAATTTCAAGTTCTGTCAGGTTGCACACCTATGAGGCACGGCTCTCGCACAAAGACTGTGCGAAAAGTGAATGTTGTTGCTTCACATCATGACGTGGCTGCTCAGCGTGAAACCATCTTGGCCACTTTCTCGCACACTCCCTTTGCAGGCTGTCCAATGGAAAGGTCGCTTCAACATACAACCAATTCAGAAAGGCAATACGGCTGATACCCCACGGACAGGGGTGGCAAGAACTCTCTGCAGCTTTCGTGCTCTTCAGCATTTGAGCTGACGACGCGGATGGGCAGCCTCAAAAATACAAGAAGGCAACACGGATCCTTTGCAAGACGATGCTAAAGCTTAAGCCATACAAAGCCCACGTTATATAATCCGGCCAAAGCCCACCGATGCACCCAATTGAGTTGTCACTGTCCTAGCAATCAAAGCTTTGTGCCTTTGGTTCTTGCGCTGCGCAGTGGAAGGACAAAGTTCTGCTGGGATGTCCTCACGCTTGATATGTTTGAGTGCCCTCTTTGGCTTTCTCCTTTGCGTGAAGGCCCTGGGCGCAAATGTGTTTTCATGGTTTTCTCATTGTTCTGCTCTACACACGCACTTCACAGATGCGAGCAATTTGCACGTTCAAAGCTGCTTCTCAAAGGACGAGCTGGGGAGGATCTATGCAGTATCTGTTTTTCTTTCGTCTTGCACGGAATGATTTGCCAAAAGGCACGTCTTGGACAGCAATCTGTCGCCATTGCTTGTGCCGCCATGAGTTCTCGGCTGCTTCCACTATTTCTGGGATACACGATAGGGCAAAACTACAAGTAGAATGATACTCCCTCTTCCAAATGACTGCGTGTTCAGGAACATGCAGGAACCATCTGAAATGTGACTGTCTGAACGTTAGCTGTTAGCTTATCTCATCTCCATATTTATGCACGGGTTAAAGACTTGAGTATCAATTGTGTGCGCATGAGCGGAGGAATATCCAAGTTTCAAGCATTGTTAGGAGCAATTCAGAACTTTTGTGTATGAAAGGCTGAAACTGTCTGATTAGTGGGTTTCCCAGCCCTTTATGTTTGTTTACAAGGCAAGTACTGTATATAACAGCACAATCGACACCCTTGCCGCCTCGCTCTCTTTCTTGTGCCTTTACGATGCAGCTGAGAAAAGCAAGGAACAATCGTATATAATCTGCCACTTTTGTTGAGAAAAGTTGGGCAAAGAAAGCCGATCCTTTACAAACATGAGGTGCTCCCTGCCTTTGTCAAGCGAATCCGTCGGTACAGCATGTAGACCTTATCAGCCACAAAGTTTTTGCATAAATAACAGCTACGCTCTGCCTCCAATATTCTAAAGCGGGGAGCAGTTGCTGTAGGTGGGCATCTTACCTTCAGAACTGAGCGTTCTTCACACCACCAGCTTTAGTGCAAGAGGGGTGCGATTGTCGAGCAAATCCAAATCATTCCAAAGGAGATGCTCAGAACCTTGGATCTACAACGCTGGAGATGTGGGAGACACTAATGCTATCATGCAGGCGTCAGCGGGATGTCTTTGTGTTGGTTCTTCCACGCACACCTGTGCATCAGTGCCCACAAAGACACCACCAGTGTTGTGAGAACAACGTTCTCGTCCTCCTCGTCCGCTGCAGTCCTTACGATTATTGCAAGTCAAGTCGCAACTGTGAGTGGGACAAGGACACGCATAAGCATGTTTTCAAAATGGTCTCCCCTTGCCAACATCGCACGTCTAAGTGCAACGTCCCGTAGTCGAGTCGATATCGAGCAACGCTTATGTAAAGACACTTTTTATACAACCGCTGAACTTGTGCCGCTCTATAAAAGACCGAGCTCGTCCAGTCATCTTAGTGAAGTCAGCGGCACCGGCATCACATACTGACTGGCTAAAGCGGAGAAGCTGCAACGGAGCCCCTAAGGCCCTAAGGCGCCAACGATATTTTGAAAGTAGATGTTGTCGTGCTTGTCGTAGTGGTGACAGTTGGGATCTCCCGAAAAACCTGGCGATCTCTTAATGGGGTAAGCTCCAATCCCACGGCATGGCGCAAAGGAAACTTGCAAAAGCCTGGGGGGCCAGGGTCTTATCTGCTACGGCGCAGTTCTTATATAATAGTTTGATGGGACTTGATGATCCTGGCCGCTTACCAAGTGTCAAACCTGACTTGAAGGATCAAAGACCCGCACATCATCATTTAGTCTCTCAGTTCGTGATTCTGACTGAGCTCACTAAGTGCTGTCATGATACTGGTGGATCAACATAGCGGGAGAAACTACCTTGGTGAAGCAACTCTTGACAGTGGATAGGTGGCCCACGGACTTTCCATCTAAAATGGACGGGCCAAGCCAAGCGGCCAAAAGTGCCAAAGGCATTGACAAGCACATCCATTGGAACGATCTGGTTGAGCATTTCTGAAAGCAAATCCAATTGTCCTGCCATCGCCTCCAGCCAAACAATAGAGCATAAAACGATTGGTTGCTCAACAACCTGCTGCCAATGCCATGTCCATTTGCTAAGTCGTCTTGTTGGAGCAGCTCCTTCAAATCCGCAGCTACGGTCAGGGCCAGCTCAGCAGCATTTGGGGTGTCCATGACCTGAAAAAGCACTGGAGACAAGCCCAAACCAAACCTTTGAAAGTAGCAAAGTTGTCGCATAGGGTCGCTCGTCGCAAGTGCCGCTACAGGCACAAGTTTCACTCTCAAAGTGAAGCCCATGGAGATTTCCGCCAGCATGTTTCGGCCATCCTCCTGAGGTCAAGTGATCTATACAAATGGTGATCACCTGCAGCCCATGAACGGCTCACAGGTCGCTGGGCATGAGCGCAGCATTTCCAATTGACCCCACGAGATGGATGGCTGATGGACGTGTTCTCCGAGGCACTTGGAGTCGTCGATCGCTGTCTGCCATGCAGATTGAACCGCACCCCGCTCAAATCGGCAAAAAACAAAACACTCCATCACCATCACATGGTTACATAGCATGACCCTATGTGCCACATCAACTGGACGTATGCGAAACGAGTCGGGACGAGGTAAGCTTCCTTGCCTGCCCATTGAGATTTGGGCATACCTCAGAGATTGGACAACATGGACGCCAAGTCAAACACGCTCAGGAAGTTGACCGTGGCCCGTGCGTGAGATCAAATTAATCGAATGCCTTGGATCACGCAGCGTCATTCCCAGCAAAGTTCGGGCAGCGATTGTACATGCATCCGAGTTATTCCGAGTTGCGGTGGAATTGCCAGCATTCGCGCAAATTGCCCTGCGAGTACTGGAATCCATTTCTTTGGCAGAACGCATTCCCCCAGCTGACTTCGGCAAATAATCACCAAAGAGCCCTCAAACCTGTGCTGGAGCAAATGCAGTGTTGTAGTTGGCGAGATGTTGCAAAGCAAGCAGCCGAAAAGCTTCATGGTGATTCAATGATCAAGGGGAACCTTCCTCACCTAACAATAAAGTCTATGTCTACACAGCAAACATCCCTGCTGGGTTCTTGGGTGAGGCTAGCTTTCTCCATCTTGTCGTGGCCAAGAACCAACCTGCACACACACTCAGTGAGCAAGCACTTTTCAACAGGTGTCTTGGGTTGCCCTCCTTCTGTGCTTGGGGCCCCTTTGGGTGCATTTGTCACATTCTCTCGTTGTCTCTGGTTGGCTTGTGCATATAAAGTTAGATTCACAGCGCTTCGCGCTCAAAGCCGCCCGCGCAGAGTGCACGGCTGTCTGTCTCGGATGGTCTGCCTCGGTCTGTCCGTCTCGGTCGGGCAGGACACACGGACGAACACACGACGATGTCAATAATGCAGTCTCCCCCGGGCTACGTATCCGGCATCGCGGATGTTTACCTCCGAAGCCATACAAACAATCATACGTGCGATATCGGTTTTTATCAATGTTCAAAAAACCATCAAAAACATACAATTTCCCGAAATGAAAGGCCCCCCCCAAACTAAAGCCTAAGCTGTTTATCTAGCAGCTGATCTTCCAGTCTAGCCGAGCCGACGCAACGCCTCAGCGCCTTCGGGCGGATTTAATTGGTTTGATTAAGAATCAGCCACGTCTTCAACAACGGTTTGAGAGTATGCAATGCTGACACCAAAAGATCTACAGTGCCTTCTATCTGCAGCTTTCCAGTTTGCCAAGTAACGTGACGGTGCTTCCTTTTGGGAAGCTTGCAGGATCTGCCGGAGTCCTGCCAAATGATACCCGTGCACCTGCAGAAGTTGCCACCGTTCCTTACGCCCACTGCGATGGCCAAGGTTTGCGGACGGCGCATCTCTAAATGCCTCCAAGCGACGGCTGCCGGCGTCCAGGCTCCACCCTTTGTTTTATTCGCCCGCTGCAATGTCTTGAAAACCATTTCTACTGGTAGCCGTGTGTTTCCTTGTATATTTTAGACCGTCTTTTATTCTTCCGACCTCTTTGTCTTCACACACCATGCCTTGAAACAACGTGAAGCCATAATTTCAGCAAGCAATTAAGGCTTCTCCTTCTAGTTTATCTTTACATACATATGATCGCATATGCTATCATATGATTATATGTTCACACCTGCAGAATGCATTGAAACCCGTTTCAGCTGAGTAGCCCTGTGCGAAGCCCAAGGAAGAATGAATGATAGCACATAATGTGGACGACGCGTTGGCAAAAGAAGCAAACAACCTGAAGTCAAAAGCTTGTGATCAAAATCGAACTTTCGATGTAAACCCGCAAGGATGTTTACATGTCTCTGATTGTCAGTCACAAGGGGTCACAAGGTTGAGTTTCCACAAGAGATTCAACACATTTCAAAACACTGTCAAAGAATTTCGATCTTGAGGCTCCTGCTGGATGTCAGTGCCAGCACACTCTGGAGAGCATTCAGGAATATAGGCTGCCGTCGAGACTGACCTCACTATTTCTCTCCCGCACAAGACACGTAAGACGTATTTATATTATACACCAAAGAATGGACCCTGAGAATGGCACCCTCAAAGTTTCCTCTACAAACCCGTGGTTTTCAGGTTCCGTGTTAGCTTTCAGCGGCGTAACTTCATTTTTGGCGACTGCTTGGAACCAAAAAGGCGTTGATCACCTTGTGTGCAAACGGCCAAAGATTCCCTGTTACACATGCAATCTGCACAAAAAAGACTCGGCACAGCCGAATCAGCCGAAGAGCCAATTCGACTGCAACACTTGATCACCGACCTGGAGGGGAAACATCGAGTGGGCCACTCAATCTGTGTGATCGGTGTGTGATCGGCAAGCGCAATGCTCTGACTCTGATTGCCGCATGCCACTGGAAGTCAGCATGAAAGTGACCTATTTTGAAGCTTGAAAATCACACGAAAATGAGCTGCTGTGGTTCAGTCTGCCTAGGCCCTAGGCCAGGTTGTCGACAGTTCAAAGACCTGCCTGCACCTTTTCTGGATAGACTGGGAGTGTGCATGCAGCGTCTTGGAAAAGACTCAGCCTCACATTGCAGGCCAAAATGCGTGAAAGGTGGCTCATGCAGCTCAGATGTCTCAAGGAGTCATCTTTGCAAACAACATGCTTCACGCGAACCCAAATACTGCGCAGCACTCGGTGAGCGGTGGAAGGCACCCCTGTTTGTTCGTATGCCAGGCACTAAAGCTGGCCAAGACTCCGCTTGATCTCATGCTGTGGGGAGCAGTGTCTGCCGCGGGTGTTGACATAGAGTAGCTCATCACGCGCAGGATTGGTCAGCGTCGTCTCAACAGGGAAGTTGAGCCGATCCTGTAAATCATGTGCTCTGAGCTCTCACACAACTTTGTGGAATTGTGTGAAGTGCGCTCGAGTCAGCACAAGGGAAAACAATGAAAACAACACACAAACTTGGGTTGCCCCTTTCGTAGCGACCCTCTCTCCAGCGGCATCGTATGCCTTCTTGCAAGTGGACCTTGACACACTAAACAATCTGAGCCATCCAATTGCAGTTGAGACCTTCGAGGGGTCATTGGCCACGACGAAGGGCACGTCTGAAGGGGTTCTTTCGGCATCTTTTGATTTCCATGCCATTGGCATCCTCTTTCTTGTTTGACCATCTTGTTTGGCGATCTTGACAAGAGAGCAAAAAAGGGGGCACAAACCAGTACCGTTTCACCAAAGAACAAAAGCCCAATAATGGTTTCATGGAAAGGGGCGGTGAGACGTCCTGGAATTGATTTTTGGGGGCTGGGGCGATGAAATAGGGACATAGCTACTAGTAGCGTCCTTGCTAATAGCGATGCACCTTGTTACTCGTAGCGTCTTGTTACTAGTCATAATGCCAGGAGCTACTAGTAGCGTCCCTGCTACTAGTAGAAATGCCCTGCGGTCTTGGGTTCAATCTTTCAGGATTTTGCAGGGCAACCTCTTGCCTTGTAACAGCTTGTGCTGTGGATGTTTGTTCTTGTGAGCTTTCTGCTCAATTCCTTGGCGTGTTGCCCGAAGCAAGCCACTTGAATGAGCATTTCTTAGTGCTAGCTGCTAGCAGCAATGCTCCTTGACAAGTGCGCGCCGAACATGCACAGAATGACTTAACGTTGGATTGCTTTCACCGTATCCTCGTGGCTCGTTACAGGATGGGGGTCCTTCTGCTGCATGATGCACTGGATTCCGAGACCCATTGGGTCTCCATCTGCCATGTGAAGTACACCTGCGCACTCACCTCAGTATCCGAGGAAGCTATCAAAACATTAATGGTCTACTGCCAATTAATTATACCAATTGCTGTTGTGGGCTGCCAGGATTCCAAATTGTTGGTTTCTTCTGGTTACTGTGGTTCCGTTTGTAGCGGCTCTTATCGTATTTAATCATTTAATCGATGCAAATCCTACAGTAGATCTAAAGGTAAGGACGGATGATCCGAGCAGCTACATAGGTTGCATTTCCTCACGCAGTCGGCCAAATCAAAGCACTCGGAGGTTCTGCAGCCCCCAACAAAGTAGTCTGAAGGCTCCTACATGCTGCGCCATGGAAAACGTCTTGGACACTTGAATGCAATTTTGCAATGGTGATTAATTCTCATAAGCAGAATGGAACGTGTGGGAGAAACTGGAGCTTTGAGTCCTGCATGAAGGCCCGGCAATCGGCCTCATACCTTTGAACTTCCGACATGTTAGCACCTGGCAAGCGAGGTGAAAGCACATGGGGTGGGAGTTGATGGCCCTGCTTGCCGCTACCCCACCTGCCGCATCTAGGTTCATCCAGCCACAGTATTGGATTTCCTCACTTGAAATGAAGCACGACCCAATGATGCATTTCTGATTGACGTGCAATCGTTCACATGCTGGGCAAGGAACCCTCTAGTCTTAGGGGTCGATCCTTGTATTACACAATGCTCGATGTTGGAAATCGTGCTCAAGGAGCAGGAATCCAAAGTCCAAACTGTCTGGTTTTGCAGGCATGTTGCATCAAATGTGTGCTGTGCTTGCTCAGGTCCTTGGAACCAGGGGCAAATTCAAGGCCCACTTTGACAACCCTTGAACACCAACACATTATAACACATTAAAAGGGCAAAACTTTCTACGCACAAAAACTGCAAAGCAAGCAGGTGCAGGTTGCATGATGTTGCATGTCTAACAAATGAGCCTGAAGTTGTGCAATATACCCGAACCTTTACAGTAGTTTGCAAAAACGAAGCATCCGTAAAACGATATAATAACCGCCTCAAGCTAATGTTGCGCCTCTGGCAGTTCTTGTTTTGCCATGTTTTGCCCGCATGTTTTCAACTCTTTGCATTGTCTCGTCTTCCCCAGTTGCTCCCTTTCCTTGGTGCCCCATGGCGTCCCCAAGCAACATTTGTTTTCGTGTTGATTGAAAGAGCCGGGATCCGCCACTTGTCCCAAATGTCGTTGCGTGCTTAGCATGCTTCATGGTGAACATGTTCATCATCTCCAACACTCTTGGGCACGTGGTGCACAAAGGAAGGGCGACACCTCACCTTGCCTTGCATAAACGATGACACCAACCCGCTTCTGAGTCCAGGAATGGCGACAATCCAACAGTGCCATCATGTGCCAACCTATTCCTCCTGCTTGCCGCAGGTCTTTTCCTCTGCAAAAGGGCAGGCGCAAGGAACGATTTGTAATGTGTCAATCCGTTTTGACCGGGAGGGCCCTTCCTAATGGTGCTCTGCAGTCTCAAAGCCACAAGGTGCCAAAGACATGAACAAGCAATCATCCATGAACAATGTTGTTTACCTTTGCCAGTGTTCATCCGCATGGTTTCACAGAACAAAGGACAAGCTTGTTCACATATATAGAGCTAGTGTGAACAACCGAGAATTCTTCAACCGGGCTGCTGAAATTTTGTACTCTGACTCCATCATGTGCAGCGGCACCTGAGCACCAACGAAACTGATGGGGCATGTCCACCAATAGAAAGCTGGAAGAGTGCCCACACAAGTTGTGTTTCGACATCCGCAAGTGCCAATAAATAATGCAAAGTTGAACAAACTTGTTAAGAATGAATGCGCAACTGTGGCACAAAACCCTAGACGGCAAGAAATTGAAAAACACCGGTCGGATTCGTTTTGGATTCAGTCTTCTTGTGATCTGATCTGCAAGGCATGGCCTTTGAAACCTAATTGGCCCAATAGGTTGGTAAGGGGTCCGGTGCAGCGGTCTTACATGCAAATCAACTGCACAGCTTTTCAACCGGACAATGTGGCGTTACAAAAATTGCGGCAAAGCGTCATATGGCCCCGACTCTTGCTCCACCTTCGAACAGCGCACATTGTGGGGACAAAGCCCGATATGGGTCTGAAAGTAGAGATGCCCTTTGTTCCTAGTAGCTTCCTCTTCCTAGTAGTAAGGCCAGGGGCTACTATATAGTAGCGTCCTTGCTCCTAGTAGTAAGGCCAGGAGCT